AGGAAAAATTTTAACCAGATCATCTACTTTTTATTTCAGAGGAAAGATTTGCATTATTTACTTTTATTTATATACATGTACTTCACATTTTTATTTAAAATGCACAGACCTCCCAAGAATTTTCTCGTTCCGGCTTTAAATTAGCTGTTATTTTACAATACAAAAAATTATACCAAAAAACTGCAATCCTAAATGTGTGTATGTATAACACCCACAACCCCAGCAATGAAATAGTTTACAATACTTGCTCCTATTTACATACGAATGCAATAAATGCTAAATTATACATATTAACAAACTAAGCTTGTCTGAACACAGATAAGAATCATAAATAATTACAGAACAAAGAGGAAAAAAAAATCCAGAAAACAATTAATCCAAGGATCTTAGTTTAAAGAACATTTATTGTGCACAAATTTCAGAGTAATATAAAACTCTTTTTTTTTTTCTTTTTTTTTATTAAAAATGGACTGACATATGATACACTCTGCCACAACTGACATTTTTCTCCTCCTTTCTACTGGTGAGGTTTGTGGAATCAATGCTAAATGGAGAGGAAATGTCTAAAGAATTATAGTACCTGGAAGACGCACACCAATAGTCCGTGTGTAGTGTCAGAACAAGGAAACAGATGAACAAAACCTGCCCTGATGCAGAGAAAAACAGCAAATACACATCTTGTAGTAGTCCTGGCATGGAAACTCAGCTCCTTTCAGCAGCTACCAACAGAAAATAAAGGAACTGCAAAGAACACATCCCAAAATGAGGAGCAGACCCCAAGGCATCCCTTCCTCCCGCAGCTCTTCCCACTAAACCCAGCCAAGTCCTTCTCCCTCCTGCTCCTGAGCCACCCCTTCCCTCCCTGTGCTGGGGCTATTCCATGGAAATAGAGGGAGGAATTCCCTGGAGATAGAGGGAGGAATTCCCAGGAGATAGAGGGAGGAATTCCCTGGAGACAGAGGGAGGAATTCCCTGGAAATAAAGGGACAGGAGCAGGAGCAGGATAAAGGGAGGAATTCCCTGGAGATAGAGGGAGGAATTCCCTGGAGATAGAGGGAGGAATTCCCTGGAGATAAAGGGACAGGAGGGATGAGGCTGAAAGCTGCTCTGAGCACTGACTCTGCTCGCTGCTTCCTCAAATCCCCATTTCCAGGGAAAGGGTTTAGGGTTTCCAGGGAAAGGGTTTAGGGTTCCACGGTGCAGCTGATGCCTGTCCCTAACTCAGGGCCTCATGGAAAAGGAAAAACAGCTGGGAACAGCTGGAGCAGCGAAGGATGGAGGGGCAGCCCAGCTCTGTGGCACKGGAATTCCAGCAAGTTATGGAAAAGGTCGAAAGTTTGATTTCAGCCTCAAACCCTCCTTTCAGCTCATTTAGGACCAAGCAAGCTGAGGCACCATTTACAGCCACCCCATAAAGCCAGTGCCTATGGATCTGGGTACATTTCCCAGCAGGAAATGGTGTTTCTGAGCGATCTTTAGGACATAAAGTACCCCAAAGCAGTGTGGATCTGCYGGCAGAGGCTGCCACCTCAATGGTACCAACCACGGAATTTTGGGACTGAATTACATTCCATCACTTGATGTCAATCACAGGCATTTAGCCCATCATAAATAGCTTTATATTGGTAATTTCAATGCAATGCCCAGGGAGAGTATTATAACAACTCAAAAGCTGTGTCTCATAAATCTTCTGGTATCCAAAATATTGAGCTAGGGCATGGCAGGGTCATGCTACAACAGTCCAGAGAAAATTCTGGGCTAAAAMCCATGGAAAACGGTGTATTTTTTATAAAGTATGTTATTTGGACATCCACTGGCACCATTGTTTTATAGACTAAAAGGGCCCCAACAGCTCTGAAAATTTATTTAAAATTTTTTAAAGGCTCCTCTTATAGAATAAAAATGTTCTGAGGGTTGAGGCATCGAATGCTGAATTTCAGCCAGACATAAAGATCTGAAAATAGTGATTTTGAATGGAATCACTGTCACAATTTTAATAATAAAGGCCTTAAACTGCTGATTTAATCCTCCACAGTAGTGACTGCTTGAAGAACACTCATTACTTATCTCTAAGTGTTGCTTTTCCCCCTTTCAAAAGGAAAAGCCATTAGTTTACTTGGTTTCTACATTTAAGTGAAATGCATTTGAACACACAAAAGTCCAGTTATGCCTCCCTGCTCTGCAAGATATCATGATATAATCTGCTATTTAAAGCTCTGGAAAATTATCTAATACTGATCAGATGAAGGAGTTATTAAGACAAAACTCATACATCATTTGAAATGCATCAAAAATACATTCAATCTTTTTCTGGTTTATATACACTTTAAATCTCTCCATATTCTGCACATTACTGTCGAGTTTATGTACAAGTGCAAAATCTGTGTGCCATTTGTCATTTATTTACAGATTCTCCCATGAAATAAAGTTGTTCTTCTCTCCTGCCTTACCTCCAAACCCAAAAATCCTTCACTTTGATACTGCCCTGGTGATAAACCAGCAGCAGGTTTTTTTTTTTTTTTTTTTTTTTTCTCCTATCTATTCCCACTTTTTTCTCTGTTTACCTCTAAGCTGGGATGAAACTGCAGCAGAGCTGTGTATGAGAATTCTCCCTCATCAGGATGGAGATCAGATGCAGAGCAGAGCTACATCCCAAAGGAGCTGCACCTTTTTATTTATATAAGTAACTCTTGTCCCTCTATTTACATTTTTTGGTTCTGATAAACCTTGACTTTGATCATTTTTGCTCATTTGTCCAGTATCTGGCACCTCATTTTGCAGCCACACTGTAGGCTTTGGAGACCAGACAGCCCAGCTTCCAGGACTGAGAAAACCTCCCAAACTTCATATTTATGTCTTTTATAAATGCCAAAATCCATCACCCCTTGAGACCTACAGTTCTGAAATCTGTTTCTGACCAGGAAAACCCAGCAACTTTAAGCACCTGCTCAAGTGGTGTCCTGAAGAGGGAAACTCAAGCACAGGGGTTTTCTCCATCTGGGCTGGCAGCTCTCCCAAAAACAGCTGGAGAAGAAAGGAGAAATAATCTCCAAGATGAGAATGAGCATCATGGCTGAAAASATGTAGTAACAGAGGAGGAATTTTATGCCAGTCTTATTTCTCCAGTTCAGATTAACCCTATCACTGACCAAGTTAGAAAATATTATCAGGAGATGAATCTGTCTGAGGTAATTTGTGCATCAGGTAAAACCTAAATTGCCTAAATCCCTTCATTCTAAGACAAAATTCACCCCTTTTCCTCTCATAATTCCTTCTTCCCAGAGAGCATTCTAGTTTAGAAACAGATGCATTTATACATATTTTTATATATAAAGCATTTTTTGCCCATTATTTTTCCACAGTCCCGTATTTTTTGCAGTTCCATTGCSCTTGTTAAATGACACATTAAATCAGAATTATCATCCACCACAGTCCTTAAACCATCACCACTGTCTGGACACACCCAGCAATTCACCTCTTTATTGCAATGCTATCATGCTCCAAAGAGCTTCTTCCAAATACACGGTTGGAGAAAAACCACCCCAGAAATGAGTGGCTGGTAAGTGACTGATCCCAAAGCACAGACAAGAGCAGTGATTTGGGTTTCAGCTTGGAAAGGTTACCTGGCCAGATCCAAGAGCACTCTCCTCCCATGTGCCACTTCTCCGTTCAATAAATACCAAATGTCCTCAACAGAACCCACCAACTCCGTGCCCTGGAGGAAGCCACAGTTACGGTGATGAAGCCATGACCACACTCCTCATTTGGCATCTTCACCAACATCTTCCTAC